ACCTAATTTACATACTGTACAGACGATAATAAACTCAACTTATTGCCTAAAATCTCCGTAGTGTGGCGCCACGCTAGACGGCGGAAATTATATATTTAATTATAATAAAGTTACAATAAGTTAATATATAATTATATATACAGTACCTAATTTATATATAATTAATATATAATTATATGTACAGTACCTAATATATATATAATTTATATATAATATTGTACAGACGATAGTATTCTCTCCGTAGCGTGGCGCTACGGACGGCGGGAAAGTAGTTCGGCTGCCCGATGACGTTTTACGTAATTATAGGAGTTTTTAAGGGTTTTTACGGATACCGTCGCAACTTTTTCGCAGTTTTATAGGAATCGTAATTATAGGGACCGTAATTATAGAGGGGTTTACTGTAGTTTTTTTATATATAAATGACTGTTTTTCTAAGTAATACAGAATCAAGCTGCAAAGACCCTATTCGCTGGGTTTTTATTTATGGGCAAAAAGTAACGATAGTGAAGATTAAAATAATTACATTATAACCAATCTTATCTGTTTTCACAAAATGCAAGAATTAGGTCCCCATTTCCAGACTAATTCGAGACCTGGTCCCGATTCTATTTCTGAACGTCTCCTGTTCACGTCAAGTCAAACGAACTATTTTCAACTTTTCTGGAACGTTTACAATCGTTCTATAATTGAACCAATATTCGAATTTTATGTTCGAATTAAATTCGAACAAATTCGAACATAACATTCGAAATAGAAAACCACTTCCAACCACTTTCAAGCCCATATCTCCCGCACCCTTATAGCTATCGAAACGCAACCACCATAGTGCACGAATGGAGACTCCGGGCTACTACCACATACAAACACCGTTGACGTGCGATGTGTAGTTTTGGCGGAAAAGTAAAATATAGGGACATACACGTTCATTTCTATATATATAATAGCTGCATGGACCCGCTTCGCTGGGTATTTCTTTGTTCATACATTTGTATGTAATATATATATATATATATAAAAGACTGTTTTTCTAAGTAATCTAGAATCTAGCTGCAAGGACCTGCTTAGCTGGGTTTTCTCACCATGAAAATAGTGCAATGTATTATTATTTATTTTATCTTTATATATGAGATGATTATTTAAGGTTTTAATTTATTTTGATATAGACATATATTCGATATGATTCTTCAATCTGAGCTAAGTTTTGTACTGATTACATATACTTGTTTACTATTTTCACAACTTTATCTTGATAGTAAGTATTTTTTTACATTTTTTTACTACACAGAATTAAGTATTTTTATTGACAAATAAAGCTGAATTTTTGTATGAGTTTTATGCAATGTGTCTTTATTCTTTACATCAAAAGTTATTTCTACATTCTGCATATGTTAGTAAAGGAAGTATAAAAAATAAATTAAATTTGTTTAAATTTCAGAATCAATTCCAAGAAAATTCATTCAGAAAGAATACATTGTGCACGTGGTGAAAGAGAATATTAAGTCTACAAATGAAGTGACATTATTTTATAATTCTGAAGATCGACATTTTGCATTTACTGAATGTATTGAAGAGTCTTCTTTCTTAAAAGTAGAAAAAGTTACGTACAAATTGTAAGTTATTAATATTTTTTATATATTTTAACTGTTTAATCAATCCATAATTTTTAATAGTTTACACTTTATAATATTACTCAAATTTACATATTTTAAAATGGCGTTGTTAATTTATTACCTTCTTGATTTTTTAGTCTGTGGCCAGTCATAAAGCCACAAAACCTCACTAAATGGCTGAGCTGGTTGAGGTTTTAGAGTTTTTATCACACATCTAAATCAGGCCAGTTTTTCATCAAAATTTTTCCTAGGACGCATTGTTTTTTAGCTGATCGCTCAAGTATCAAATTGCTATATCTCACGAAGTAAAAGGTCATTTTTTATTTAAATGTATTATTAAAAACTTAAAATTACTTTTTCATTTATAGTTCTTCCACACTGGAAAACAAGAGGGCATTTTCCATTCTTGTCGTTGATTCTACAGGCTTTCATATTCAGACTTATCGTGTGGAGGGAACTGGGACTAGATATAACCAAGACTTAATGCTCATAAACAGTTTTTCTTGTGGCTTGTCACGCCTTTGTCGGATTGTAGAATTAATTGGATTTACGCAATGCAACGCATTGGCAATTTGCCATGGAGAAAAGCTCCCCAGGAGAAGATTTCATGTAAAACTGCTCTTTAAATACGAATGAGTTTCTTAAACAAATCCCGGAAAATGCCATACAACCAGCCAATTAGATATGCATAAACGTCCCCAACTATTTTTGTCCAACTTTTTTATCCGCTTGACCTCAGTAAGCTTTTTCCATTTTTCCATACGTGAAGTCTCTCATAGACTATTGTTCACTGGTATAGTCATTTACATCTGTCTGAATATAAACTTTGGAGTAAATGCGGTTATTAGTTACAGATAAATTGTGCTTTGAATAGGAAAATTATAACTATGGCCACCATATATAGAAATTTTCCATTTTCTAAAGATCAAAATACACTCCTTTTATGGTAATCACTACTTCAGTCAAACCCACAATGAAGGCAAATGGATAGTTGAAAGCGATCGACATACTGTATTACTAATCTCACTTGTTGTTATTACTATTGTAAATATATATTATTAACTTATTTATTTATTTGTTTCAATTTTTATTATTATTAAATGTTTCAGTGCCAAAATTATAAGAAGACTTGTAAAATGTACAATAGAACGAAAATAACTGAAAAGAAATCATTAGTACCACGGAGAATATACGTTTGTTTAGATTACGTAAGTATTAATAAGTGTAACATCTAAGTTTTCTTATGTTTAACAATTTATAATGATGTACCATTTTCAATGTATAATTTGGTGTAGTTCAAATACATTTTGAATTTGTATGTACTTTTAAACTGCAGATAAACGCTTTAACAGATGAGTATTTTTGTTTGCTTGTGTGTTAGTCAAATTCAATACACAAACATAACGAGATTTATTTGACAAAATGTGTTGTTTTTGTTTATTCGAATATGATTTAATCTGATAACACAAATATCTAAACAAATAAAATTTCAACTTGCTAACACAAATGGACGTTTTGTGTGTTTTAATTTGAGAGGAACATGTGTTATTTGTTTATAGATCAGAAAAAAATATATATTATAATAACTACTTTAATATTAATAGTTCTAATTTCATTGATGCTTTTTACAATACAATAAGAAGAAGACGACTTATTTTTCGATTGTAACAAAGTTTATTAAACAATTTATTAATACGCATAAGAATTAATATTATAAATGCAAAGTAATCTCACACATACAACATAACGTTGTATCTTCTGTTGAGAGTTTGATACGAAATTTTAAATATTAAAGTGGCTTTCTATTAAGAGGGATCGTAGCAAGACATCATTCGATTTAGAAAAATACTGTACTTGTGTAATCATTTCTAAATCATTTATTGGATATGTGTTAAATAAATGATTAGAAATTAATAAAATAATTTCCTATAACGTAAAAAAAGAATGTTTAGACACCTTTACGTCCAACTATTTTTGAATTTTTATAAGTCAGCAACTAGTTTCAACTCGCTTTTAAACATTTAGAGTGAAATTTAAACTATAAACTTGCGAAAAAGTATTTAAAATTATAACAATTATAAATTTTTTCAGGAAAATGGCTACAAGAAAAATGAATGTTAAATAAATTTTATTTGTTTCGTTTTAGGATTCAAACCAAATATTTGGTAGAAGAGGTAATGAATCTTTATCTAGCAATTGAACAGTTATATTAAGTATTTTAATAATTTTAATTTATTTACTAGGAAGACATGTTTCAAATATTTACTAGGCGGTGGTATGTTTCAAAAATCATTACTTTTTTATAACATATTAGATTGACTGATTGGTAGAATAAGGATATGCAACACGTGAACCATCTGCTAAAGTAAATTTGCCTCTTATACGACATTTATGCTTAATTTAACACATAAATATGAAATTCTTCTTTATCAGTGTGTCAGATGTTAGAAGATAATCAGAAAAACGTTGGCGAGGCACAACTAGCTAATTATCCTCAACTACAAGGATACAGTAATATTATCTATTTGGCCAATGCTGGGCTATAACACACCGCGTGTCTATTTCGAAATAAAACGTATTTTTAATATAACGTGTAATGAATAGATTAGAAATTTTAATTTTTTTAACCATGGTAAAATGGCAACGATTTAGTATTTTTATAATTTCAAACTTTTTAAAAATAATATACTCTTGGACCTCTCAACAACGGCCACTGAAAGAAACATGAAAACTTTGTATTCAGTAGTATTTGTATGTTATTTTATATACAGGAAAACACTCCCGAACAAACGGCTTCAATTTACAGATGGTCGTTATTGACGGTTTGACTGTATTATAAAAACGTTAATATTTTGAAAAATACAAAATAATTATGAAATTTTTTTTATTTCAGATTTGGATTTGTATTCCGTTTTCTTTCTTTATCACTTTGTTATTTTTGTATGGAATAATGAAGAAAGAGAGTGAGTTTAGGAACAAGGAGATGCCAAAATTTTCCACCTTATTTTGGATTATATTGAGGAACTTTGTTCGACAATGTCAGTATTGTTATACTGTGAATCACGTCAATTATCATAAACCGAATATTTCAGGAAAGTAATGTGTATAATGCGTACGAGTAAAGTAGTGAAATAATTTTCTGTATGTTCTGTTTACGATCGAAAAGATTATTTCAGTACATTTAACATTTTTTCAGTTCTTCCTGCTTACTTTCTGTTCCTGCTTACATATGACTATTACAAAAATACTGTAGTTTTATTAAATGACAAATCAATAATTGCTTAAACTAAAACATTCTTATTCCTGTGGTAAATACTTAACTATCAATTTTTGTTTCCAATTGTTTATCTTTTTCAGATACAGATGTGGATCGTTATTTTCTAATCACGTTTCGTATCCTAATTGGCTGCTGGATCCTGATTACATTTGTTTTGACATCGGCATACGTCGGCACTTTGCCATCGTTCATGGTTAATCCTGGAACCGAAGTCATTCCTTATACATTTCAAGAATTGATTCAATCAGTGAAGTAAAACGATACAACATCACTTTTTTTAAATACAGCGATGAATGTCGTTATTTTAATCGCTGTTTTCTTCAGGTACGTCTCATTCTATTAAAACTACTTTTAGTTATTGATTTAAAATACAAAATGATTCGAAAATAAATGTTTATTATTATATTACGAGTGTATTTAGTATAAAATTTTGGGAATGAAATCAAGAAATAATTATTTAATTATTTTAATATAAATTGCCCATATTAATTCAGTAAAGAGTTTGAAACAGCAGAATAGTTTCTGGAGTCACTACTGATAAACATCGTGGATTAATAAGCAGATATATATAAAGCTGTATCCCTTAATTTGACTTGGAACACAGAATTATTGTTTTTATTTTTCTATATATGAGAGTAGCCATACACCGGGTGAATTATACTGTTCGAAAAACATTGTCGCTTTAAATACCTGATATAGTTAATTTACAATTGAAATGATTATAAAAGTAATATTTTGAGATTAATTATAGTTAAATATGTTTATATATAATTTTTAAAACATTAAAGGTTGCGATCGTCAGTGTTTTTTCTATAAAAATATTAATGCTCTGTGTGTATTTTTATTTACATAAATTTTTTATTCGTATAATTGTAGTCGCATTTTTCAATGACAACAATTAAAAATGATGAGATCAAAAACTTTTATGAAAATGTTGAAAAGTATAACGACTCGGGTAAAAAACCAATTGAAAAAATACTTAATCGAACCTACGCCGTGCTAGCCTCAAGACAAAAAATTGAATTGAACCTGACCAAAGGAGATAAAAAAGAGGTCTTCGTTTCAGATGATACACTTTTTACAAAATTCCAGTGCATACAAATGAATTTAGTCAAAGTGAATTATGCTGTTGAAATCACTAAAACGTAAGTATAAAGAATGTGTTTCTTATTACTTACAATTTACTAGTAAATAATGCCACCGAGCATTAGTACTTACGGTCTATTTATGTAAAAAACAACCTACACTTTAAAACTAAATACCGGTGATCGCAAGTATGTTGATCTCAAGAAATTTAGCGATTTTACTTTGTTTATAATCCGTATAAACTTCGCTATAAACCGTATAGTTCTGTATTAAATTTCTGTTTAGAAAATATAGCTGTTTAATGTATTCACAATGTCATATTTTTTTAGGAGTATTTCTCAGTTTAAATGATTAAAACTTAAAAACCGTGAAAGATGCATTATATTTTATTAGCTTAATATCTGGAGTGCAAATAACAATATGATATATATATATATATATTTATATATATTTGTTTTTTAAAATTGACATTAATAGCATATACTATCGAACTAACAATAATGGCCATCCCAAAACAATAGTCACTTGTAAATGAATTGCTACAAATTAACCAGTAAATAAGTAACTGCTTTTAAACAACTGTCATATTTTACATTGTTGTCAGTGGCCATTGTACAGAGATTACACTGTGTTCTCAACTAAAATTTTAGTAGATTATACACTTTAAAATAAATTACAAATTAAACATGCATTTCTATTTACAGTAACAATACTTGAAAGTATTTTTATGTCTATGATAGATACAAATGCTAATAAATAATTGAGATTACACAAATACTTTAAGGATTGTAATTACATTTGTTACAGACGACTTAGTGAATGATGTATGATTTATGATTTACTGTAAACTTTTTTGTGAAAACTAATGTGAAAGATGCAGAGTGCTTTATTTTTCTTTGTGTTTACACTGTATGTTTAATCAGTCTAAGATTATACAGTTTAGGGCTTTACTTTATTAAGAGTACATCGCTGTTGATTGCACATAGAAGAGAGTATGAACATTGAAGCAGCTGTAAAAGCGAGTTCTATTGAAAATCTTTTCACATCGTAAAATATAAATTTTTATTTATCTAGTAAATTTTGAATATTATATTCTTTGCAATAAAGTATAGAGTGCACGGATAAATAATGAATTTGGAAATTTAGTAGATGCTCCTGTATGCGATAAACTGTCATCTCAGTTATTTGGCATACAGTTTATTGTGATGAATCATGTCCTTTTGTTTTTGTGAAAATGTTAGTTATATCAGATATTTCGGTAGTCCGTTTAATTTTGTTTTCTTTCCGTGAACAACACTACATTTTAGTTCATTGCAAAGGGCAAATGGCCAGATTATTCATAGTTTTAAGCTAACTTAAACCTATAAGTATTAGGAATTGTGATAGGTATCGCGCATTTTAATAATCTGACCATTCCCACTCAGTGGTGGAAATAATCGGACTAACGAAAAAATGCTGTGTGTGTCTTAGTTCGGGTTTCCTCATTAATGTCATTTTGTTTCATATATTTTGTAACAGTATATGATAGATAAAGAAAGTGTATGTAAAAAATTATTTTCCAATAACCACACGTCAGATATATCAGGTCATCATGAGTTAAAAAATAAAAAAAAATAAATAATATATGAAATTATTTCAGTATAATCGGATTTCCTAGGGTCTTTATTCTACATGGCCATAAAAATACAGCAAAAATGCTTTCATAATATGACCGTCAATATTTCTGATGTAATAACTTCTACGATGGCTATCGACTTTTTAATCTCATTCTATTGCACACAAGAAAGACTTTTCATGCCACATTTTCTATGTGCACTTTGAGAATTGCGAACGCTAATTGAAGAAACCATACTGAAATTGACACGTGACATGTTATTCAAATTCTGGCAAAAATTCGAATAGTGCATTGGAATTGCATACCTCTTATGAAGTACTAAATTTGTTCTCTATAGAATATATATAGCAATATTGTGTTCTAAAAGATACTATTTTCTTCTTCATACCTTCCCTTGGATATTGCCATGCATGAATATAATTACATTTTATGAAATGTTACTAAAGAATGTATTATTCGTTAGTAAATATATTTACATATATATTTTTTGGCGAATTTGCATTATTTATGAGTCCGTTAAAATAATTTTATATTTATAAGGTGGCTTTTGTATAATTGCATTAAATAGAAAACTGTGACAGCTAACACAATTAAATATTGTTACTGATGTCACATGATAAATATCAAAGGTCGAAAAGACAATGATTTAATGAGAATGAAGACTACTTTTATAAAGGCTTTCTTCAATTTTACTGTTGCAAGTGATAATATCATTGACAGAAACTTTTAAATGAAGTGTTTTGGTACATTTTTATACCATTTCTTCCAAAGATTTTGTCAACAATTCGAATTTCAGCATCTCCTTTAGCTTCTTATTAGTAATTTACGTGAAATTTGATTGTGTATTGTTAAACATTGCTGTTTGCGTCTTTTGTATATAATATTGTTAGAAACAGTAGAATATAACAAAAGCATTAATGAAAAGAAGAAAAAAGATTTTAAAAAATAGATTAATATTACATAATTTAGAAATGCGTTTGAAAATTATTGAAAGGTCTTACTCTTGATTTCTTTCTTGTAATGTTTTTTATCTTGTTTACGAGAATTTCTGTAACAAATACTACAAAAGCGATCAAATATCCTGTACCTAGTAAGTACAGTGGACCCATAATATCATCCATTTCCAGTACTTCTTTTTTATTTGTATCAACTGGTTTGTGTTTGTAGAAAAGATCTTTTCTTGTTGCTTCATGAAGTAGATTTCTACGAATTTTCTCAGGTAACCCACTTTGTTGAATAAGATTTACTCTGTTAAATATAAATATATACTATTAATATTCTGCGTATATACTGTATTAGTAATTTTTATATATAATATATTATAAATATTAATGTCATTTATTTTATACAAATTTATTTTAACAAAGTAATTATTGATACTTGTAAATGTAGCTTTAAATTACAATATTTATTAATGGATAGCTTTAAATAAAAATTTATCATTGATTTTAAACTAACTATATATCAATAGTATATTACACTTGTGTTCAATTTAGAAGTACTTGTGAACTAAGATTTCCAATGTGGAAACAAGTATAATATAAGTAATTATGGAGAACAAGCACACATCAAAATAACTGTATAATAGTTTATCAATTTAAAATATAATGCCTTGCACACTTATTTGTTAGTTTGCATTTTTAGCAATTCATTCATATTATTTTTGTTATATATTATCAAAAAGTTATGTATAATGTTATAATATTTTTCTTAAAGATAAATAAATTTCATGTGAAATTTTTAAAATTCGAAATTACATATTCTGTGGTTTCTCGTACTTCAAATTTAATTCATTCCACAACAATTTGACATCTTAAACATGGCTGCCAAATTATGTGTACAGTCGACCCCCCTATAACACTTTTGATTATTCCGTTTTATATGAATCCCATGTTGTACGAGTCACTTAGATTTTACAAATACGTGTGCCGGGCTGTGAACGGCTCACGTATTTATAAAATCTAAGTGACTCGTACAACATGGAATTCATATATTAATATTGGTTTTGGGGAAACATTTTATAACAAACGTTCAAAATGATGCCCTTTCACTTCGACACATTTGTTGAGCTGCTCTTCAAATGACTGTGCTTAAGATGTCCTTCAGAAGTCTACTTCGGGGTATTCAAGTTCATGGCTGATTGTAAAATTTCCTGCTGTTTGCATTGCCAAGGTCAAAAATATGTATTCCTCTGGAAAAAACAGACTCGACCTTTAGATGACCTTGATGGTCAAGGTTAACGTCACCAATTGATTATCCCATCAAAACCCTACAACTTTTGTATAAATTTTTTTTCGAGATAATGAAATTTAATTAAGTAATTTCATTGTCTCAAGAAAAAAACCCAACCTGTATAAAGGAATTAAGCATCTACAGATTTTGAATACATGAAAGGTTTGCAAACTAGCCCTCAAATATATCAAGGGATGAATGCAGATTACTGGCTTATCTATCTGATGTTCAGATTTTTTCGTCAAACATATTTGATAAACAATACATTAACTGAAAATACTGGGCGTTTCTTTTTGGTGAAAGTGATTTGAAAGCAGTACTATAAAAAAACATCGACTGTATAAATTTAAAATTATGTTACAATGTCACATAAAACAGAATTTATTTTCAATACATATTTTGGTTACATAAAACAAGAAAACATAACAAAATGGTGAATTTATTTTTTGCTATTCAAACTTACTAAGTATGTTACTTAAAGTTTGTACACGCACTATAAATGAATTTTCACATAAAGTCCAACAATGTGTTCTCTTTCTGTGTATGGCAGATGCAACTCCAAGGACATCGTATACTTTTGTTGGCTATGCAATAAAAAGTAGAATTACAAGCTTTCATTTAGTATTATACTTCTGGCCACTGATTTATGGTTTCAACCTTGATCTGGTTTGCTCAGATGTGCAGTATCAATGCATAATTCATTTGTATTCCCTTGCCATCCTACAACCATGAAAGTTGCTTTATGGTGAGTGCAATTTGCAGTTTTATCACATGATGAATCCACCCACTTATACTCCCGCCATCCTTTGCTGATATGGCAATATTAAACGCCAGGCAACTAATATGTTTCTCACGACATTAATCCTATTTACAATGATAATCTTGTAAAATTGTAATCTTGGTAAACCTTTTTGATACAATTATGATATATTATGGGATGGCGCTGATAACGTGCAAAGCTTTCAAGAGCAACGCCCTCTTTCCAATAATGCTTTCCTACCTAATTAGTGGCATCGAACATGTGAGATGACAGCACATCTTTTGCTAAAGTAATCTCGAAATTGATATGTCGTCTAGTTCTCGATCGCCAACAAAATAGTATCAAATTAAACGTTTCTTAATAAAGATTTTTGATTGAAAAGATGAAAGAAAGAAAGTAAACACGTGATGAACTTTTGAGATGAAGTGAAACCTGAAAGGATTTTCTATGTGAGACTGCTTCTATTTAGGTGTTAGATATGCAGACATATATAACACATAAATAAAGTTAACCTAATTGTGTGGTGGGATCCCGGAACTAATTACCATCGATTAGTGGTTTTACCTATTGTGCACTAATGAGAGATAAAAAAAAAACATTTATGTACTTACGTTTTGGCAATTTCAACAGCATAATTAACTCTGACTAAATTCATTTGTATAAAATTGAATTTTGTAAAAAGTACATCTTTCGAAACAAAGAACTTTTCCTTTCCCGATTTAGATATGCTCAATTCAATCCTATGTTTTGATGCTAGGAGAGCGTAAGTTCCTGTAAGTACTTTTTCAACTTGTTGCGTGCAGGATTCGTTGTACTTGATAATATTTTGATAAAAGATTTCGGTGACATTATTTGTAATAATTTCCATCGGGATATACTCCTACAAAAAATAAATAAAGTCTATTAAAGTAATGTAATAAAAAAATACAAAAATGTTAATTGGAAAAATATACACAAAAATATACACCATGCTTCAATATTTTTACACAAAAAGTGACTCATGATCGCATATGTAAAAAATGTACAAATGTATTATATTACAATTATTTTAAAGATTTAATCATTGAAATTTCGAATTAACTATATCTGGCAATTAGAACAACAAAAAGTTTTGCAGCTACTAAGTTCGGAATAAGATTCAGTTTGTGTCGTATGTATTGTTGTATGCCACTGGGCAAATCAATGGATAAAGTGTTACGTAAATTTTTATAGACTGAATCTGGCCGTAGAACTTTTGAGTGTGAGTCATAATTTCGAAGACACAATACCGATTGCTGTAACTCCGAATGTTGAAATTTCGAATAATCAGAATTCCGAAAAGCTGAATTCAAGAAAACTACAATCCTGAAAGACAAAATCAAAAATCAAAATGCCGAAACATTTAAACTTAATTTCCATTGAAAAATTAGTGATTTATATAGGAATCCACGCAAAATGAATTTCCACGTATCCACGAAAAAACGTAGGAACTTAAAAAGCAAATAGAAAAATTTAGTAGCAATGTTCAAGTTATTGTATGTGAAATCATTAATGAGTTTCAAATATTGCAACACTACGAAAAAAATATGAATATAAACGTATTTTTCGAGAGGAACCTTGTCCTAAAAGGAAAAAAAAGCAGGTACTCTTCACAAAGCAAAACTTCAAAATATATTTGATGATGGTGAATGTCAGTCAACTCATTTACACTACTTCTGTCCAATCTTGACTGCCGGACGGCCGAGCGGTCAAGGTGGCAGCCTACTGGGAGACCCAAAATCAAATACATGCGGGTCGAAAAATCTCAGGAAATTATTCGGAGGTCTGACGACCGACCGGATATGTTGGCCCCTGTTTTTCACCATCTGGCCGCTACATTGTAAACCTAGCCAAACCCATAATGGGCTTACTTAAACACGCCCACAGAGCGAAAAGACTTAAAAAATCTCTGGAAAATTGGATAAAGATTTTTTTCTTTTTCGGATGTTGATAATTTTATTTCCTTCCCACAGTTTTAAATTTTCAGCATCGATTTTTATAATTCGTACTACATATACTGCATATAATTTTATTAACTCTGTATTAATGTAATGATAGTCGATATGTATGTATTATGTGCAGTACATACAATTCGACAAAGTTACTGTTATTAAATATTTCATCATGTAAAAGGGGTTATTAAGTATTTTACCACGTGTTTATATATTGCTCAAATAAATTTCGTTGGAAAACGTAAATAAATGTTTTGAGAATTTATTATATTTTTCCGTATTGTATTTTCGAAATTTTAATTTTTTGGGATTTGGATTTTTCAAGATTTTGATCTCCAACTGTGATGATATAGTGCAAAAATTTCTGAATTATTTTCGCATTTACATTGCAGACAAGTATTTGATAATCGCTCAACGTAGTATCTCTTTTGTTAGTTACATTTTTTTAAATATATGCTAAAATAGCTGACATAATAATAATTGATAATTTTTATAAACTCTGACATATTGCGCATGCTAATAAACTAGGAGAATACATCTGACTAGCCAAGTGCAGTCTGTTAGACTCGCAAATAATTTTACTTACACGAATCGTCCTGTTTCAAACGCTGCGGTATTGTCACTTCATAATCTTAAGAAATACATTTTTACTTCGTGTATTTTAATAACAAATACAGTTTTAATAATATATTTTAAACATATTTAGTACGTTAAACATATAACTAAAAATATGTGTAATACACAATACATACATCGAAAGGACATCGATCAAAATAACGGCATTCATCGCTAAATTCGAAGAAGGTGATATTGTACCGTCCATCTATCACAGATTGAGTCAATTCTTCAATAGTTTCAGGAATAGTTTCAGTTCCTGGATTAACAATATAAGACGGCAGAATTCCGACATATGCAGATGTCAGGACAAATGCAATAAGTATCCAACAGCCGATTAGGATACGAAAAGTATTGAGAAAACAACGATTTATTCTTGTATCTAAAAAAATAATATGAAAAAGAAACTTTAGTACATTATAACTAAAAAAGATTGTCTTATTTTACATAATTATTACTCGATCATTAAATACTAACAATATACTTATCAGTGAAGAGCAAGAGGAGTACGAAAATACCGGATTATTAATGTATGTAAGGTAAAAATTAATATATACAATATATATATATATATATTGATTAATTTTTACCTTACATACATGTATTTATATACAATTAATACAAAAATTAATATATACAATATATATATATAT